CAGCCCCTCCAGAAGCTCCCTAACTAAATCCTCACTCACCCTAGGCCCAGGTGAGCCTCCCCTGGGGCCCGAAGGGGGCCCAGCAGGGAGGTGGCAGTTCTGGTCCTTACTGAGGAAGACAGAGGCAAAGAAGTTACTAAATATGTTGGCTTTGTCGTCTGGCGTGACAACCAGATTCCCCGTCTTGTCCTGCAAGGGCCCCACGTTTCCTGGGGCCTTCTTTCTACTCCCTATGTATTTAAAAAAGGACTGATAAACAGTTTCATTTTGGAAATAATTTATCCTGATTTCCTGCTCCAGTATCATTTGCACCCTGCATCTTGTTTAAAGCGATATTATCTGTATTTATATTTTCTGCATACATTTCCTGTGCTTACACAACTCTCAGAAGGAAAAGATAAGTTTCCCATCTGATTTATATTTTAAATTTAGCAAACTCAGTTTTCCACCCTGCATAACATCGATGTTAATGGCTCCATTAGAATTCTGAGGTTTGATGCCTTTTTTGAGAGCTAACCTTGGATTTTTTTTCATTCACTGTAGAATCTACAGTGTGAAACTTACAAAGAAATTGCTCAGATTGAGACTGAAATGGCAGAGCTTTTGATAGAGGTGCACCGATACATTGGTCCAATATCAGATCAGCACTGAAAATTGTATGGGAAATCGGCCTGATATGACCAATAAACGGCCCGTGCATGTGCGCAGCAGCAGCACAGCACTTAGATGGTAAGGAGCACAGCCCCACAGCTTGGAGAGCTGCATGCAGCTAGTAAGTCTGGTATGGTAGACAGGAAGGGGGAAAGGTAGGGGCATGGGGGGGCAGGTCAAGGCCCCCACAGTGAGGGAGGGGCTGGGATTGGGGCAGGGGCTGGGGCAAGTGCTGCACAGCCGGGACGGGATGGATGAAGGACGGAGCCATGGTTCCTCCAGAGTTGTGGGGGTGGGACTCCTGCCACTGCTGTGCACCGCTCATCTGGCAGCTCCTGCCGCTCATGTGAGAGGGAGTGGGGGAGGTATGTGCTCCTGGATCTGCATAGGGCTCTTCCCAGCAGGGCCTGGGCTGGGTGGTGGCATTGGGAGCCAGGGCTGGGAGGGCTACGGCAAATTCTGATGTGGGAAGAGCTTGGTGCAGGTCGCAGTGGCAGCCACCCTGCCCCATGCAGATCCAAGGGGCACGTGCCCCCTCCATATGCCCTCCCGGGGTGTGTGCAGTGATGGGAGCCACCTCCCCCTTCCCTGTGTCCCACTCTGCCCCAGCTGGGCAGCGCCTGCCTCAGCCCCACTCCCTCCCTCCCTCCCGGTAGGGGCCTCAATCTGCTCCCTCCCCCACCATGCCCCTTCCTTTCCCCCTTCCCTTCCACCGCAACAGACTTACCAGCTGGGCACTGCTCTTATGCCTCCTTTAAAAATGGCTATCAGTATCAGCCCCAGAAATCTCTATAACCCCTAGCTTTTGATAGTAGTGATTTTCTTTAGTTGGCTGAAGTATACCACAGTATACTAATAGGTAACTTAATCATGGATACTCCCCCTCTATGCGGCACTGGTCAGGCTGCAGGTGGAGTACTGTGTCCAGTTCCGGGCACTACACTTCATGGTGGACAACATGGAGAGGGTCCAGAGGAGGGCCACTCGCATGATCAGGGGGCAGCAGGGCAGGCCTTACGAGGAGAGGATACGGGACCTGAACCTGTTCAGCCTCCACAAGAGAAAGCTGAGGGAGAATCTTGTGGCCTGTTACAAACTAATCAGAGGGGACCAGCAGGCATTGGGGGAGTCCCTGTTCCCCCGAGCACTACCAGGAGTGACTAGAAATAACGGTCACAAGCTGGCAGAGGGTAGATTCAGACTAGATATATCAGGAGGTGCAACTTCACTGTCAGGGTGGCTAGGATCTGGCACCAACTTCCAAGAGAAGTGGTGCTGGCTCCTATTCTGGGGGTCTTTCAGACAAGGCTGAACAATCACCTTGCCTGGGTCGTTTGACCTCACTACTCTTTCCTGCCGTGGCAGGGGATCGGACTTGATGATCTGCTCAGGTCCCTTCCGACCCTACTAACTATGAAACTATGTTTTTAGAATTAGATGATAAACGCTTCAGTAAGAGCCAGCTTGGTTATTCAGAAAAAGACTCAGCTTTCCTGATGGCCTCTGCATTAAGAAGATTTGCCGTCATGTGAGCTATTACTTAGTTGTGGGGAAAAAATAAATGAGTTAATTTCTTTCCAAAAACCTATTGATTGTTATTGATGAATCTTCGTAATACTGTACAGAGTAAAAACAGCTATGCATTTGCATTGACAATCCAGCCTGAAAACAAGGTTTACCATTTAGCAACATTTTTACTAATGCATGGCCTGCCCTTTTATGATGTCAAGCTGTATTTAAAGTTCCCTATTTAGAAGTGATCAAAAATCATTTGAATATCTTCAAGAAAAGGCACTTTCCATTATTCTAAAGGAAAACCATTAACAGATAATTTTCGTGGTCAATCATTGAGCCCAAAAGCTTATATCTAATGCTAGTGAGACTAGGGCAACATATTAAGGGATGTAAAGGTTGTGCTTCACAATCTCATCAGACTTTTAGAACCAAAAAGGGATAAGAAATGCTTGTGTCAACATTAACATTACCTAGAGAACAGAAACATATGGAGATCTAGTCCTTCACTTTAAAATGTAATTTCAAAAGAGTGGCAGAATGCAAAAATGTTTCAACACTTTAACAACCTTCTGTCTTCATCCTAACTGACATACAAACAAAAAGCTTTCCATGTCTCCAGGGTCAGATAATTTGTTTATGCTTATTCCTTTTAGTATCTGATGATTTGCTCTAACTTTCTTACTTGAAAACCTCAACTTGGTTTTAGGTACTGTTTTCTTCTGGCTGCAAGTTCACTAATTGTCTGAAGGAATTGCTCTTATGTGGCTAGCAGGCCATCATTTAGAATGAAGGTGCCCTCCTTCCTATTCTTATGCTCCTAGTCTTGTCCAAACTAGAGAAATGTGTCACAATGGCCCTGTGGTCATCTTGTCACTGTTAATACGTCAACACAAATATTTTTAGTAGAAATAATTCTTTTCTATTGTCTCTGGCACTCATGTTTCCTTGAATATAATTTTTCATTTTTTTAAAGCACTGCTAGCTTTTATGGTTGTGAAGAAAACTTCCAAAAATACAAACAGTGCGTAACCAGCATAGCAATTATCTGCTTGACTTTGCAAAGATGTTGGCCTCCTACAAATATTCAGTTTCTCCTGGGAGAGTCACAGCTTTCCCAAGAGAAACCAAAAGTATCACAGACTTTTTCATCCAAGAGAAAAACAATCTGGGAACAACTAGGGTTAAATCACTCCCAGGAGAGTGAATGTTCATACATAGTACATAATGTTTCTGAATAAGTTTTTCTAACAAGAAAACTAAATTGGGAGAATTCTCGCTGATTTTGAATGTGTTTATGCAGTCTCTGACACAGTAGCTATTATCATAACAGGATATCAATTTACATGCCCAATGATGACCTTTAAATTTGCCAACATTAAAATTTAATTTTACTGCTGATAAAGCACATTAAGAATGATATGTTAAGATCTGTGCAATTTACTGTGTGAGGTGGTTAATATTTTTTATCCTAGGAATGGATGATGACTTGGATAGAACTGCCACTTCCATCTTCAGTCTGCTCCATGTAGCAAAACGACCAGACAAACATGACCAATGAGGTTCAGTTTTGCAAAATCCAGCAAGTTACCAATATCCCATTATCCCTTTTCCAAAACCCAAGCCCCCCCCTCAAACAGG